GACCCGAACGAATACTAAGCAGGCGACCGCCCTCTTGCTAATGACTACAGGAATTTGCCTGTTAAGATCCAGTGCGTATCTTTTCGGGGTATTTGTGATAGACAGATACACCATATTCCGATATGTCAAAGTTGAAAGTCATTAATAATGCAGCTGAACAGAAATGGTTTTGTGCCGATAAAATCACTTCCATTACGGCAATCTTACATCTAAATTAGTAAGTCTTCCGTATGTAGGTTGTCATGTTGTACGTACGTCATTCTCGAAATGAACTCGCTTCTGTGTGAGTACATGTAAATGGACGTTATGAACCCTACATTTTTCGGCAGTCAACAACCTTTCTAATATCTGAATTTATTATGATTCCTGTCCGATACAACGTACACTACACCTGTTTATTTTTTCTTTAATTTTATCCATAAGTATTTTATATCCAAAGAGATCACCATATAGCATAAAATTAATATTAAAACTTGCATGTGAATTAAATGAAGTGACCAGTCGTCCCACATCACGTCTACAAACTGTCATTGTAATTAAATAAAATATGTAAACAAGCAGATAGTAACCAAAATCGTCGGTCTGTAAACGCAAATCCTTGTGCAATTGAATATTAAGTGCTTTTAATCTCTCTTCGGTATGGACCGTTTAAATTTTGAAGTAAGTAGAGTGGAGATCTTTCAGTGCACATCGTATGTATTCGAAAGGTTTTGAAGATTATTTACGTTGTACCTGTCCGATCCATTATTCCGTATACGTCTTTAATAATGGTAAGTTACAAGTTTTTCATTGCGAATTGTTCTATCAATAGTGTAGCTCAATTCATCAATTTCATGGGGCCGCAAATAAGGTGACCCTGTTCCTATCTGAGATTTTTCAATTATGGATCTCGTTATTGTTGTGTAACCTACACGGGGTCGATTCTCGAGGTTAAAACAATACCGAAAATGAGAGCGAGCCACTCTGTAGTGAAAAATTGTCGTGTTGTTAACGTAATTTCGGTTTAAGTATTGGAGAAAGTAGTCGGGACATCCTGTATGTAAAATTATTTAAGTTTCTCTCATAGGATCTGGGGAATTGTATTTCAAATAGCCATACAAATGGAAAAGTTGATAAATTGTATTTTAAATTTAGTTATTTTTTGTCTAAAATGCATAAATAAGAGAACATTTAATCGAAACTTAATTATAATGTTAAAGTTTAATCTGGTCAGGTTTTATCGAACAAAAATTAATTGGTTATGCGATAACAATACCATGTGCGAGATACCCAATGCACGTGTTTATCAATACGGGAGACGGAGCACTGTTTCGAGTATCGCCGGGAAACTACGATATAGAATTGATGGAGGTGGTCTTCCCTTTAAATACGAAAAAAGAAAAATAAACGATGCTGTTTTCGGGTCGATTGTATTAATGGGCGTAGTGAGGCATCATAAGCAGCGCCCCAACAAGCAATTCCGTATTGTATTCGTGAGTGAATAATTGCATAATACACGGTCTTTAGTGCATCTAGGGTCAAAAAGTTTCTTAAATAATATAATTTTTTTATCATAATGTACAACAAATTCCTTGTGTGAGTAATATGATCGATCCATTTTAGTTTGTTGTCCAGTATTAATCCTAGATATTTTTCCCTAATTGCACGTTGTATTATTTCTCATTGACATAGCTGCTTATTAGTACAACTTGGATTATGACACTTCACTACCAAATCAGCGGATGGAGATTCACCTTTGAGATTAAAATATACTATTTTAGTTTTCGTGATGTTAATATTCAATTTATTTGCAGTAAACCAATTACTAATTTTGTTGCTATCTTTTTGAATAATAGTTGTTAGAGCAGACCAATCGGCAGCACCGTACGACAGCGCTGTGTCGTCCGCAAAGGCTGTTAACCTTCCACAAAACCTTCCATTGCACAAATCATTTACGTAAACTAAAAATAAAGTTGTGGATAGCACACATCCCTGCGGTACTCCACAATCATTTGTTCGCCATGATCCCACAGTCTGACCCACTCTAACAGCCTGTAGCCTTTTTGTAAGGAAGCTTTTAAACCAATGATTTGCCACCCCCCTGACACCCGCTTGTTCTAATTTATACAGAAGTATTTTTATGTTCAAAGAATCAAATGCTTTTTGGACATCAATAAAGAGCCCGGCTGATTTTAACCGATTATTAATATTACTGTAAATGTCAGCCATAATAGACATTAATGCTTTTTCAGTACCCAGACCCTTAATGAAACCGAATTGATTCTTTGAAAAAAAACTTATTTGCATTAGATAATTCACGAGGCGTTTATTTGTGGCTTTTTCAATGATCTTAGCAACGCTAGATACTAAAGATATCGGTCGATAATTGTTTACATCTTTTGTTTCTCCATTCTTATGAATTGGGATAATGATAGATTTTTTAAAAACAGATGGATATATACCAGATATATAGCTCAAGTTTGCAATGTAGCATAACGGTACTGCTAGTTCTTTGGAATTCAATTTTAGGGTTTTTATTCCGATATCATCATGCCCAGTTGACTTTTTATTGGCTAAGCTATTAATATAATACATTTAATTTCTGGTTCATCAACTGGCAATAAAAACATATTTGCATCAGTACGAAATAGTTGGAAGGTATTATGGTCGAGTATTTCATTAATGTTATCAAAATTCTTTGCTAGCCTTGTTGGGGTTTCTATAAACCCTTCATTTAGAATATCACAAATGATCGACGGATCTGAGTAATCACATCCATTGTATGACACAGACTGTAAAATATTTTTCCCTCCTTTTTTTCCTAACAAGGAATTAATTACCTTCCAACTATCTTGTACGCTATTATTTTTTATTAGATTGATATAATAATCTGATTTTGCTCGATTAATCATTCGGTCAAGTTCCTCCTGAATTAATATGGATTTGTCTCTCAAAGTTTTATTTAGTGGTTGCTGTTTTAAAATTGCATTCAGTTTGTTACGACGTTTTATGTGTTCAAAAATAGCGTGACTTAACCAGGTCGAGTCAACTTATAATTTAATTTTCGTGAGCGATGCTTCACCACGGTAGACTTTTCAATGCAGTTTTGCAGATAGTTAATAAAAATATTAGCTGCTAATTCAACATCGCTTTCTGATAAAATAAATTCCCAATTTGTTGCCTTTAGTAGATTGTTAATCGAATCATAATTTATTGATAACCATGTTGAATCAGAATTACTTTTGCAATGGTAATTGTTCAAGACATTTACGGGAATATTGACTGCAATTAAACTGTGGTCTGTAATATTGACGTGAACAACTGCTGATTGCATGGGTTTATCCTCTTTATTACCTTTCACGAAAATGTGGTCTAATCGCGAACTTGACCTAGTTGTTATCCTGGTATTTTCAGTGATGCATTCCTGATAACCCATTGCTGCCATACATAATAAGTACCTTTCTGCATCGGGCGATAAGTTATCAGGATCAGTGTTTATGTTGATATCACCTGCTACAATTACGTGAGAAGTAATCACAGATTCAAGCCATGTTTCCAATTCGTCAATGAATTCAGAAATGCTAAATGATAAACGCCTGTAGATACCAATGATGTCAAATTTAAGATTATTAAGTTTGCAAGTAACATGTACGCAATCAAATCTTTCAAATTCGGATTTGTTACTGACCACCTGACTAAAATTATTATTTACATATATACATACACCTGCGCTTCTCTGATTGGCGTTACAATTCCAAAACATTTTGTAACCATCTAAACTAATGCTGGAATTCTGTACATATGCAATCGTTAAACCGTAAAACCGTACGCCCGTAGCTTATAAGTTGATCGTAAGCGAAATTTTACAAAACCTTAAAATTTGCAATTCTGTGCGCCGACTCGTAATGAAAAGCGTTACGAGTCGCCGTTACCGAGCCGTTCCGATCGCAACCAACTTCACTTCTATTGTTTTCATTGACAAGCCGGTAGTGTACACCATTTATCCCTTGGTTTCCTTGCCGTTTGGACAGTTTACTGAAGTAAAATTGAATATAGAGTAGCATTATGAGGTAAGATTTTATTATTGAAGATTACATTGTACATTTACAATGTTATTTCTTTGTTTAAAAAAAATTAATATCCTAACCTAAAAATGACAATTTACATTTTTTTAGCTTAGAAAACAAAAAGAGAAAGAGAACCAAGAACACAACAACTAATCAATATAATATTTACTTATATTACATGGAAAATGACTACCATATGCGATCCAATACAATCAACCCATCGCTAGATGTAAATTACATCGAAAATAAATGGGGTGAAATGTCAGAAAAGTTAAATTCTGATCCAGATGGGCCTCAGCTGACTGTAGCTGATTGGAAAAAGGTAAAAACGATATGATTTATACAGCAAACTTCAGCACAAGTTTTGTAGCATTATTTTAAATCTCTTCATCGCTTTTTTTAAATAACCATCTTTTTTAGCGTTTTACAGATTGGAAGTACTTTGTGAAAAACAAATATAGGAAATTAAATGAGCACCGTTTAAAGACTGGATCAGGTCCTCAAAGCAGTATAACACTAACAGACATGGAAGAACGGGCACTCTGTGTATGGGGAAAAGTGACCGTAACCGGTGCGTTGGGTGTTACAAACTTCGATGGAATTTTATTAGATTCAGATACCATGATAATACCTCTTGAGGAGGAAATTACTGAACCAATGCCGGTTGAAGATGATACACCAGTAATAGTACCACCTGAAATTGAACCGGCTGTTACACCCGTTCCACCGCAAAAACCTGGGACAAAAACTCTACCTCGGCAAAAGCCATTGTCGATTGTGACAGAAAGCTTATTGAATACAATGAACAAATCCGAAAAAAATATTGAAGAATTAGGTTCCATTGTAAAACAATTTTCCGAAGAGTACATAAAGTGTAAAAAGGAAAAAAACAAAAACGAGCTTCTTCGACTTAAATTTGAAGTGGCAAAATATAAATTTGAAAACCAAAACTTTAAATTTGATTTTGATTAATAGTCTTTTTTTTAACATAAATGTCTTGGAGTTTTTTTTTTGTATTTTATAATAATAAATTATTTCTTATATATCTAGCTCTTGTAGCCCTCCCTTCTTGCAGAACATCATTGTACTCCAAATTGCCTTCTAAAAACATTGTACATTTTATTTGAGGTAATGATGTACATGAAAACGTTTACCTATGCCAATCTCGTCTCTATATTCTATTTCTTCCTCCGGAAGAGGAATCCTTGCCCGGAGAGCAATATTGTGAAGAACACAGCAAGAATAAATGATGTTAGCTGCTCTACTCGGATGGTATAAAAGAACTCTGTGCCTTGACAAACATCTAAAACGTCCTTTTAATATGCCGTTGGTTCTTTCAATAACATTTCGAGCCGTCTTGAATTGGTTATTAAAACGTTCTTCTGGGCTTCCTTGCTCAAAATTCGAAAAGGGAGTAAATAGCCATGGTTCAAGGGGGTATCCGCTATCACCTGTAAATTTGGTAAAAAAAATTGTTTTTTTTCTATTATAACATTGTTAAATATGTTTAAATACCAAGTAAATGCGTGGACTTATCTCCATTATCATACTCCCGCTTTAAATAAGTTTTAATATTACTCATTTGCCATATTGCAGAATCATGGACGGACCCAGGATATCTGGCATTGCAAGCAATAATTTTTGTGTTAGAATCCGAAATCTAATTTTACAAAATAAATAATTAATATTCATTTTCTATACGTCTTATCCTTTAACATACGAGCATAACATTTATTGAGTGTTTTCCTTTTCTGTTTATATAAACAAAAGGGGGATGGTGAACGTCATTCGTAGGTGGAGCAAGAATTTCAACATGAGTTCCATCTACAACTCCAAGAACACCACGTACATTCCACTTGTTGTAAAATCTGAATAAAGTTGAAGGTTTTATCTAAAATACTTATGTGCTTAATGTTTTACCCTTGTTTAATATTATTTTTTGTTTCGAAGTCAGTCGGAAATTGAACCCATTCTGGCAACAAATGTTGTGATATTAAAGATGTTATTTCGTGTATTATTCTTGAAACTGATGGCTGACTCAAAGAAATCCAACAGCTACTTCCTACAGGATTTTGAAATGAACCAGTGGCAACAAAGTTTAGTGTTGTTAGAACCTGTCGAATTTGGGTAATTATTGCACTGGCACCGGCACATAAGAAGGCGACAGCGGGCTATACCATTTTTTAAACAATGGCTATACGCAGACTGCAGAACCCACTCAGTGGCGCACAAATTAATAGAATATGAATAGTAAGGATGCGTCATCTTTCGCCTTCTTATGTATCTGTACCTGTAGGTACCAATTTGTAGTTATTACAGCATAGGTATTGAAAATGATATGTATAAAAATATACCTAGGTATTACCTTTAAATGAAGCGGAATACTTCCTGTGTTTTGGTAATGGGGGCCTATTTCCTCGATCAAACCCATTACACTTACTTTGTCCAAACGAAACATTTGTTTAAAGTCTTTCTCGCTTGTTTCAAAAACATTAAGCGAGTCCCTTAACTGTCTCTTCGTTATTCTCATGAAATTACTTAAAAATAATTATACGCAAATTTTAATGTTATATGAAGTTTGTTTATGAAAATTGCGTTATGCTTTTAAATATTGATTCTTACCGATCATTATCTTCTTCGAGAAGAGCACCAATATGTAAATAGAAGCGCATATTATTCATTTTGATGCGCTCGGATAAGTTTAGGTCAGATAATCTGTCACCGTAAGAATTTACGACAAGCCGTAGGGACTTCCGAGAATTTGTAAGATCCGGGCGGACACAGAATTGCCTTTTTTAGTTCCGATCTTACGAGTGCCCGTAAACCCGCTTACGATCTCGGATATTTTACACAGAATTCCAACATAAACTGCTTTATTTCCGATTCTTGGGCCCAGATTTCCGACAAAACGATTACATGTGGTTTAATATCATAGCACTGCAATTGACTTACAAAAAACTCAAAATTTTTATTTAGACTTCTAATGTTTTGGTGCAAAATTAAGACTTTTTCTTGACTGTAACTGAAGAATCCAATTCCGTCTGAAAAGTCATTATAAACAACACACTCGTTAGCCATACTGTTGCATTGAACAAAAAATTAGGATCTAAAAAACACTAAAAAGTTAAACTTATTTAGACTGTGGGAGATCATCTTCAGTGGTTATTCTGTACACCTTGTTGCTTTCATTTTCTCTGAGGAATATGACGCCTTGCTTCACCCAGACAAATTTAAAGTTGTTTGTTTCCGCAAATTTTTTCACCCCATAGAGTAATTTTTTGTTTTCCGGCGATAGGTGTTCTTTAATATAAATTTCAGACAGTGGTTTCAAATCTGGACTGAGTTTGCTAGATGGAATACTTCTCCTACCCTTGAAAGCTTCTAGCCACGGTCGATTTGTTGAGGGCTTCATTCTCACAATTATGGGTTTAATCTTGTTGGGATTGTAGGTAGGCACCCGATGTGCTGCAATTATATCGGCCGGGTTGAAGGGAATATTGACTTCTCCTGCGATCATTTCCAAAATGAACATTATATCTTCATTTTTTGATATTGGCACCCCGATCAACTCAAAATTATCGTTCCGGGATCTCTGATTTTTCTAATTTCAATTCAAAATTTGGAATTTACGGACTTACCGTATTGGAAGATTTTATACAAGATAATATAACTCGATTATTTCTTCTTCTTTCTTCTTTAATGCTGCCGAATGGTGTTTGCGACTTGTGACAATGGAGCTGTGAACTGCACAGGCCGCTTCTGTTTCCACCAACGTTCGTTTTGAGCGCATTTCCAAAAACATTAAAAAAATGCGGCCACTATGGATCAAATGCATGGAATCATGATACTTAGGGTCGGTTGCACAAAGGCAGTTTAAACCTCGTTTAGATTAACGCAATGGATTAAGACATGATTGGTTGAAATTTGACGTTTTATCAAATTTCAACCAATCTTAGACCATAATCCACTGGTTAATTCCAAGCGAGGTTTAAACTACCTTTGTACAACCGGCCCTTAGTATCCCGGCATGGAATAAGTGGCTATAAGCCACCAACATTACTCGCGACAAACTGGAGCTGTTTTTTTAGTTTTTAAACTGTTACTACCCTGATACTATGTTAATTTTTCAACCTTGTGACCTACGTTGCCTCGCGCACAACGGCACAAATTGCCTAAGGGGCAGCTCGAAAATAGCAGGAGGCAGGGGTCGTGGGTGCTCGGCTGGAGCAATAAACTAAACAATCACACTAAACCGTTGGTATATTATGCTTAGGCAATAGTTACAGGCTTTAAATTTTTTTATAATTACAGGAGGGACGTCACGGCTTGAGTATAGGATGAAATAATGTTAGCAACTTATACGGTAACAACTTCGCAGATATAGGTTGAGAAACAAATCTTGCACAAGAGATTTGCAGGCTGACGTTCCGACAATCAAAAATAGATGGCTAACGGGAATAAGGCCTTATCGGGGTAGCGATCTTAGGTGTGGTAGAACATGCCCTTTAACGTTAAAATAGCGGTAAGTACTTGCGTATTTCCCTTTTGTTTTTTTAAACTGATTAACAGACACTCTCTTCAAATCGCTCAGCACCTACCCGGTATATAACAAATTACTGTATTGGTAGTGCTAATAAACATTAAGTAGTTACAATGTAAATTCTTAATTAAAAAGTGAAAAATATTAGGAGCATGAAGTGCAACGCAAATTGAGTTATTAATTATTATAGATTGAATTAAAAGTTGAACGATGACTACACCTGCAGCTGTGCAGCTACGGATTCCTAAACTGGTAAGTACAAATGGTCACCTCGAGTCTGGCTAACGAGTACTTTTGTTTTAGCAAAGAGGGTACTCTTTGGTTTTAGATTGAAAGGGTGATCGCCTCGCCCACAATGCTTATTAATGCTGGTTTAGACATGTCGCCGACATGCTTCACGACAGGAGTGGTAATTAAAATTAATCTGACCTTGCTTTGGAGCTATTTCAAACTGGTGCAATTACGGCTGTGCACAGGGGTGGTTCAAGCCGGGGTTTCTCCACTAGACGCTATCAGATTGGGTCTCCACTAGACGCTATCAGATTGGGCTCGTTAGATGGAAGTATTATCACCGCATTAACTATTCCAATTATGATAATTTATTCTCTTTCAGAATAAGAGAGAATAGGAGGACGGCCTGTGGATTAATGGGTCTTAACAAATGGTGATCGGAGATTGTACTCACCAGTGGTATAAAGTATAATTTAAAACAATATTCAGCTCAAAAACTGACCACCAGCCTCGCCCTATTTCAATATGTCTCTCCTCTTGACCCCTAGGTCAAGAATGTTAGATAAAAGATAATTTTGAAAAATTGGATTTATGTCCCTATACTGACCTCTATTATTATGCTTTTGCAGTATTTAATTAAACCTGTAACTGCTTAATAGGAAACGTTACAACCTTATGGTCTTTGCTATACATTTTTGTGTAAAAAAAATCACAATTTGATGCTAATAAGCAAAATAAAGACTAACCCTAATTTGACATTAAATAATCAAATTACCGTTTTCACATGAGACGCTGATTATCATTTAAAACAACTTCGTGTATAGTTGGTTGCCTATTATAGCCATCTATCCTATGAATTTGATCCGTTTTTTTCACCCGCACGTTAGTAAGGGTGGTAGACATTTCATTGAGGTAAAATATGACCTCCCACTTTTTTTACGGAAACGCCAGGAATTCGAATCAAACAAAATATCGATGATGTGGGTCTGTCTGTCGGTCCGTCTGTACTCCCATTTCCGGATAAACGGCTAAACGGATCGGAACTAAATTTCGTACACATATTCTTAGACGTAAAAGGAAGAGCAATATTCTCTGTATATAACAATAGACTGTGCACGCGCAAATTCAACTTTTATTTGTGGACAAATTTTCTGAAATCTTAACAGAAGATGCTTCTTATAAAACCTTATAAAAACTTATGTCAGGAAATGGATTGCGCGTACGCAGCGTCAATATCTTAGCGCATTTCCACAAAAATAAAAAATGCGCTATCATGGTAACTTTATGCGCCCGTCTGTACGGCTGTGTCGCTTGCAGATGTTTACGAGCACTTTTTTGCCATATGGTGCACGGAATTTTTTCTGCGTCTCTGTGTCAAAAAATCTATTTTTTCGCTTCCTATAATTTTACACATTTACCGTTTATTGTGCTTATAAATTCTATACTTTTGTTGCATTTTGATTTTTGATTAGCCAAAACTTGCTCTACTTTAGTGATCATTTTCGATCAAAGAAACCCAAAATTTGATTGAGGAAACGGTTAAATGGATATGCAAATAAAGAAAAATAAAATTAGCTCTGTTGGAAACTACAGTTAACCCTTTGGGTCATTATTTATTTATTGTGTGCACTTTTTGAAAAATAGATTACAAATACGCAGACGTAACTTTCTTATGACCGGTTTTTTTCTGAAATTTTAAGGGAAAATTCTCCCTAAAATAATTAAACGTATGTTGTTTTCATACCGACACCAATAGTACTCCCTGTCATATGACGGCCTGACTCAGTAGGGAGAAGCGACAGCGATCTTAAGATGAAGGCTCCTCAAGAAGCCCCACATCCACAAACAACACAGCTACCCTCGAAGGCAAGACCACGTACCTATATCAGGCAGCAGTGCGTTGGATGTTTGGGTGAAGGGGCAGCGATTACCGAGTCCGAAACAACGTACTCAACACCGCAGACCAACACACGCTGAGTGGAGCAGTTTTCGATCAGATGTACCAGCTGACAAGTATGTCCTAAATGTCTCATTTGTGAGACACGGCCCCTCAGGTTCCATTGCGCTTCTGGGATTAAAGGAGTTCCCTAGGATTTTATTGATTCCTACCCAAAGATAGGGGTGCGAAAAAATTTAGTAGTATAGTTTAGTTTCCAAAGCAATTTAATAAAGTTGTGTGAGAAGTTTAACGCGTTACGTGTTGTCCGAGTACATCGAGACCTTTCGTTAAGGTTCTTTTTTTATTAAAAGTTAGAAGTTTTCTACCGTCCAAAGAGCCACCGAAGAGTTGTTATCTTATTCATCAAGCCAGTGTTTTCTGCCATCTAATTCTGTGTTACATTTATTTTAACTGTCGACCGCTTGCGTACGGGGTAATATGCCCAAATAGACAACAAGCACCTATCGAATCGTCACCGACCGGCTAGCACAATACGCGCAGACCCGCCACCGCTCCGTATTTCCGAAGGACAAAAAACTGCCGTTAGATCTGTTTATCTGCGGCCAATAAGCAAGTCCTATAGCAACAGTTCATTGTCATTGTGTGCGTGTGTCGCATTTACCGATATACGTAATGTAACGTCCGACGAAACAATAGTACTTTGTGTACCAAGGTTGTTTTCCGGGGCGAAGGAAGACATGGCCAGGCGAGGCGCAGCCGTGGCTGGCCACTTCCTGAGGCCCGGAAAACAACTTTCGTGCCGTGGTGCACACAATATTTTTTATCCTATACACTTACATTTAAAATTAATCCCTTAACAGCGTCCGACCGCAAGCGCTTGAATTTGGATTTGCTTTAACGCGTCAACGTGCACGCGTTTGTTTTGTTTATTTACACGTTTCCTGCTGACTACGCGAAAAAAAATTTACGAAACGATGCAATCTAAGTGGGCCCACGAGTATATTTTTTACTCGTATATTTACCCCTTTCCCTTATAATACAGTTCAACGCAAATTCAAATTCTAGCGCGCTTGCGATTGCACAGTGCAGAGTCACCGAAGGTAGTCACGGTGCAACAGAGCAGATGTGCAAGTGGAGAAAACTGATCATGTGCGAACTGAGTTGACATTTCCGGCATTTCACTGGCGCGTGATTATTTCCTTAGAAAATAACGGGATTTAAGGGGTTGTAATTAATACCAGGCGCATTTGAAATTATTACTGGTCTTGTGTATTAACAAATGTGTTTTAAAATTGAATGTGTGTTTTCAGGAACAAAATCACACCGGTTACATTTTAAATCCTTCGCAGTATCCATGTCTTGTCAAATGTTACATGCTTTTAACACTGGATTTATGCTTGGCGACGAAAGCGCAATGGGCACACTTTAAATCCTTGATGATCTTGTATTTTAAAAAAACGTGTTTTATAAATAGATTTATTCATTCCTTACAGTCACACTGGACACATTTTAACTTCGGGGTAGTCTCGTATCACGTATGTTAAAATGCTAGGTACTTATTACGGATAAGCGGTGTTCTACTTACAGTGCAAAGTGCATCTTGGTGTTAAATGTATTGACACAGATGCTCGTTATTGAAAGTAAATGGGAGATTATGACTAAGTTTGAAACGTTTGAATTGGTCACGTGATATTGGGAAAGTATTCAAATTCACGAAACATTGTATTATAGGTTCGCGGTAATTAAATAAATCCTTGAATTCAGTAAAATAAAGTGAACATAGGGTAAATTTAATTATTAAATCAGTGTTGACGATTTTATGTTTCTTATTTAATTAAAAAGAAATAACTTCTTTGACATTTTATTACAACCGCGCCATCTAGCTTACATGCCTTGTATTTTTTTTCTCGCCTAGCCGACAAAATTGAATTTTCTCGCTCCATGCGTGCAATTGTCTTCTTTCGCGTCCTCACAGGCGAGAAAATGTAAGTTTCTCCTTGTATAGGATAAAAAATTTATAACCTTGTAACCGTACAAGACTTTAATAACCTATGAAAACCGACCGGAGACCACTGAGACTTCTGAGTTTCAAATTGGCAGTTCGTCCAACCAATGAATCACTTAAATACCAACCAATCGCCGCGACAAACACTAGAAAATTTGCCACCAGACCCTAATCAGTTACAAGAACGCAGCTATGATCGATTCACCTGTATAACCATATAGTCACAAATGAGTAATCCAAATAGGAATAACTACTTTTGTTCCTAGTTTTTTCTGCTTTCTGTTAAATAACGATACATCTATAGTTACTTTGATGTTACTGCTAGACTTTCTTCGGGTGAAACGGATTTTCGAAAGTTGGTATTTTATTTCCTTATTGGTAAAAAAATATCTAGAAGTTCATAAAACTTGACACTCGACATTCTAAAGTACTACAAAAATTTTTTATCGCCAGCCAAAATAAATTATGAAATTCGCCACGAATGTCCCGCTGTTTACCATGGATCCCATACCTACTTCTGACTTTGTAGTCGCCTTCTGCTTCAGCACAGGCTGCAGCCAATACAAAAAATGTCTTCTTTTGTATCCGATGAACTACTCACTTTCCGAATATTTTTAACTTATTTAACTAGCTCAAATCACTACCTCTTTTCACGTTGATGGTCAAAGCAGTTTTAAATTCTATTCACACAATTCATGCCGATTCAAAGACCGTTGGTTGCTGAACAGCCGGCCGCACTGTGCCGATTCAGTAGGCGTCCTGCATAAGTATTTCTTTCTTTCCGATTTTGTTTTAATCCTTTCATGTGTTTCAAAGTCAGTTTTTGTCATTGCCAATCAATTAATTGTGTGTTTATTCGAATCCAAAGGGCGACCTAGATGAGTTTTCATGTCAGATTTTTCTATTCGTGCCCATTTCGGGTGTTAATCAAAATTAGTGTATTAAATTCTTTGGAATTTTCGGAAGGCCTCTCAAATTGAGAAACTTTAAGTCAATATTGGGATTTTTCTTTATAGAATATGCCGAATGTATACGAGGGAGAAATCAAATTCTCGGTTTCAATTTTGATTTGTTTTAAGCTAGCTGGACAGTTTTATGGGTGACGTAGTCACCGGATGCCATTGCACATAGCACCATGTTTGAATATTTGTGTAATCACCAAATTTTTGACCATTTCTGTGGACCGCCATTATGATTCCTGAATAAAGAATGAAAGAAGCAACTCAAATTTTAAGAGTTTTGGGAAAACCCATTTTAAATATTTCAAAAAAATTATCGTTTTGGTTCCTTCTATCACTCAATTTTTTTTACACACAATCAGATTCTGTGGAATGGAGTTTATTACGTTAGAGAAAGCATTTTACAATCATGTACGCTTCCCGTTTAATCTACGCGTGATGATTAATTTAAAAAAAAGTGAAACAAAGATTAATCAGTTATCATTAAACGAAGAGCTTTCAGTTAGTTAGCTAATGATGTGCTTTGCTTCACTCTTATAAATGCCAAACTCATTACCTTGTCTGATTAATCCAATGAAATAAATTAACAAAGTAAAGATAGAAAGAAAAATAAACTCTGTACAATGTGTACGCTATCGATTTTGTCATAAAAACACTGGAAGTAAAGCAATTTCAATATTACGAATTAAATTTCAGACCTTTGCAAGGGGCAACTGTTGAAACACCGGATTTTCATTATTGGGTAGTACAAGGTGCAAGCACTTAAAATAAAATCGATAACTATCTATTTGTAATTAGGTTAAAATCAGTTTACCTGCCGCAACTATTTGGAAGACGCACGGATTGCGTTGGTATCCGACCTCATTGTCACCCCAACACGAAAGAGTGCCATATTCCATATCAGACACGGGGGTGTAGTTAAGTCTGGAGGTGGTAAGTTCACTAGTGAACCTGCTGGCCGGAACCTCGGTCAAATCCCCAGAGTTGTTAAAAGTCCAGTGGAAGGTCACTATGGCGGGGTTAGCATCCACTTGACACTTTAACATTACGGTCTCTTGTTTCAACGCACCAAATAATTCTTCTCTCTCCTGAATGCATATGGGGGCATCTAAATAGAGAAACACAAATGATTAAGGTTGGCGAATTTTTTATTACTAAACTTAGATGGCAAAATGACACAAAACTTTAGATACAACGTCGCAACTTGTAATCGTATTTTCAGTTTAAATACGAAAGTCAGCAGATAAGTAGAAATGTAAGCCGGCCAATAAGAATGAAAATTCTTTTTGTAAAGTGGAAGTTTGAAACAACTTAGGAAGGAAATTGTTAATTATGAAAAACTTCTTTAGCAAAAGCGCCGCAGTTAATAATCCTGCACTTTTAAACTAAATTAATAATTTAATTTCCCTCATACTTGCGGAACCTTAATTCAGAATTTTCCGTGCAGAGAAGGAACACCGCGGAGTTTTCAAACAATAGTCTTTCAGTCCTTTTTATCAAATAACATTATATACGCAGTCCTACTCCAGGAAAGCTAAATTAAATTTTTAGCTTTTTGTATTAAGATAAATGTACGAGTTTTTTTTATGCAAATTAAAATTACGCGACGCAACATGGGGACAATAATAAGCAGTTGCCCTCAAAATTTAACGCACTCGAACAAATTCGATATAAGAATAACCTCATTAAATCCCAATTTAACCACAGACGAATATGTATTATTAATGCTCTCCACTAGCGCAGAAGAATACGCTTTAAATTCCAAATTCCCTGTCCGAGAAAATGTCACGGAATTATGGATTCAGCACATTTTGACGTTTTCATAAAATATTCACATTAAGGATGGTATAATCATATTTACATCCACACCTTTGAAATTCCGACTATCAAAGGAAAAATCGTAAATTTTAAGAACACGTAAATATCAAAGAACTCCTTCTTAAACATATCAGAATAATAATCTCACGTTTTTCTTCATTTTTTTATATCCCACAGAACAGTTTTCTTTCATATATACGTATAAAGAGAAATACTTCTATTTACGAGCTTACACTCCATTTTAATTAGCGTAAAATCTTAAACAAGAAACCGCACTTTTTATTTCGATGTGCTTCGGTTGCAATTATTGACTGTTGGATGGACTGCAAAAAAGAGTTCAATTAATTTTTTATACAAATTAAAAGGTATAATACTTTATTCCTCCAACGATTTCGAGAAGAGTTTGATATCTTCAAAATCAATACAAAAATATTTCCCCAATTTTATTTAAAGGTGGAGTGGAGAAACTTATAATTTAATAACGACAAATTCCATTGCGAAACTCCAGCACCACCAATATGATTGTGTGGGTTTGATCGAGATTCTACTTAAGTGTGTTTAGGATTTTTTACACAAGTTTATAAGTAAAAGAGAACCCTCATTTGCAGCAATATACGGGGAGTTCTTAAATGAAGTAGCATACGCGTTGCCAGTTCAAAAGTAGTCAATTGGACCAAACACATCGGCATATCACGTTTATTTGATTCAATGTCTGTTGTATACTATAGACTATTGCAAACGGACGCAAACCCGCACAACAACCTCTTCCCCTAGGGCCTAGGTTCTATACCAACCAAACAACATACCGCCACCCTGTCATATTCCACTATCTTACGCAAATCCCCCACATCAGACAGATCACTAAACGCTCTCTACGACAAAATCTGCTCCAACACCGCAACCTACAAAACGAACACGTACCCTTTCAAGCTCCTCTTCCGACTCCGGTCATATCTCACTACTCGATAAAGATAAACTCACCCACAACATACCGCTACTGCATCCCACACGCCATCACTTCACGACAAGCAATTTTACAACTCCACCATCACCTTCAATTTACCACTAACCAAACTCTAACTCAACTGTTATAACCACACCGCCCTCATCGAATCCAAACTCTTTGATATGTCCAAAAAACTTCAGCACCATTACTTTTACATAACTCTCCGGACCTAAACCCCAAACCCACATTTCTAAACCTCCATCCTTTTCGTGCTTTATCCGTAATGTCGACCGCGACATTACAGAATCTGAAGTTCTTCAATCTATACCTCTCCCCCAGAATGACCCGCGCCCTGCGCATCGTTTCCGATACAATCAACTTTCCCACCACCCTCGTCCGCATCATGCCACTAGTTAATCCACCATCTCCTCCAACACGGTGTCTGCATGCCATGCGAACCATGCCACATCCTGGGCCCTGCACTAAATACTGCTTCATGTGCACCAAAATCGGTCACCTCTCCTCAGAATGCCTTACTCACACCCAAGTATGTCCATCCTGTGGTGCAAACCACAAACCTAAAATGTGTAAACTTAATACCCAGCCCAACCGTACGAACTGTTCCTTCGAATGCCTTAATCGAAAAGAGGTTCCTAGCACTCCTGCAGAAGCAGCCCCCTAGACCCGTTGACACCCAGTCCGTTTCCTCTGAATCGTCCGCACTCCCCGAAGCTTCCTATTACCTCCACCGAACCGATTTCCTACGTACCGTAGCCCTCACCTTTATCCATCTCTTTCCCGACCGCCGTTCGGAGGTCATCCAGGCAATCGACCAAGGTTTTACTCAAATAACCAAAGCAAGACCTGTTAAGCCTTACCGGCAAGCATTGAGTATCCATTGAATAATTTATTGCTCCCTATGAACCTTTGCTTCCTTCTCTTTAAACGTGGTAGCGTTCTTCACTCCTTACATAATCATAATCCTAATTCCACACTTCTATTGTTGACCACATCATTCTTACCAAACCCCTCTTCCGCTACATTGACGCCAATTGCTTCCTAGGCACCACAATCACCCCCGATCATCTTCCATTGCCGGTCCGTACAAATTTCACGCCGCCCCCATTCTTCCGCCCACTGTGATCTAAAAACTTCTCCAGAGCCACCTGGAAAAACATTCCGCCACACCCCTCCCTCTAAACACCCTACGACGTCGGCTATTGCCATCTCCGATAGTGTCTCCATCGAAACCCCATCATCTTTATCGCCAAAAGCTCCCTGGACGCCTATTCCTGAATTAGGAGAACGCTAATTTTAAGAGAAGTGATCGGTCATTTCTCCCGACTATTTCAAAAACGCATTCTTGAGAAGTAAGGAACGTTCACATTCTACTAAAAGTTGATAGAAGTCGCTTCTATTGACAAAACCAGTAGAAGCGAGTAAATCCTTGATAGGAGCATGCGCAATGGCAACTTGACACTTGACAGTTTCTGACGTTTATACTTAAATGTTACCTTCACAAATTATTTGTGGTGCAGGTCTGTTTGTTAAGGTTAAGTACATTAGCAATGGACATAAACGAAATAGCGATTACTAACATAGTTCTTGAGAACTTATTTGACGCCGAGAATCAGGTAGAAGCTGCAGGAGAACCTCGTATCCGTGAGAGACAAAATGCTTTTAATTCACTCACGGTCGGTTGCAGGAAAGCGAATTATAATCAAATTTTCGCCTTTCTAAAGAATTAGCTAGGAATGTAATTACACTAGTTACGCCTTTCATTGAACCTCCCAGCAGATCATCCGCAATAGACATTGAAACCAAGGTAAATTATGTACCTATGTATTTAAATGCATGAACAAAAGTAACTGAAGGTGCTATCTGCATTACACTTTTTTGGGCATAGATCCTATCAGGAATGTGTTGGAAAACATATGTGTGCTGCAGTTAGTCAACCTACCATCAGTAGAAGCCTACACCAAGTAATTGAACGCAAAACAATTAAATAACACTGGAGTAAGAAATAACCTAACATAACCTTTTTCCTGCAACATAATATCAAACTACTGTGCCTACCTACCCGTAAAGTAGTCAAAATGAACTCTTGCAGTATGGCAACACAGGATGAGAACAATTCAAGTTCGTGAATATGAATTTTATTGGGTAGGAGAACGATTAGGAGATGTGATTGTTCCTGTTCTATTAAGAGAGACTTCCTTTCTCATGAGTTCGGGAATCGGTATCCTGATAAGATACTTAATCTCATTAGGGAGAAGAGGCGAGTATTCAGTCAATTCCTACGATTCCGTGACGCCGCGCTCAAGACAGAATTTATTTATTTGTTATCCCTCTCTTGTTATGGGTCCTCAACAGGCTTTTCGCCCAATTACAGAGTGACCTGCATAATGCTTTTTAGAATACAATAGACAACTCCGTAATCAGACGGGAAACGACACGACGACGTCCATGGCGCCAGTTCAACATACTGACCGGCAACGGGAAAGTCCAACAAACCCACCTAACAGAACAAGGAGGGAATATAGTATTCACAGAAAGGGCAATATAGATTTACTTACCCGACATCTACCAGAAACATTTCAATCACCCGACCTTCCCAACTATAATCTGGAGTTTAAGCTGGTGGTTGAACAGTTGCCAGATTACTTTCGAGATGTCACTCAACTGACGATCCCCTTCTTCAACCAATACCCCTCAAACTAGTGTAGACACTATACACAGTGGATGCAATACAGCACCCGGACCGAATAACATCAACCGTCTGATACTACGCCACTTCCTCCCTCCGCAATCACATTGTTATCCACAACCGCGTCCAACTCTCATACTTTTCAACGTCCTGGAAATTCTCATCAGTAGAACCCAAAACCACAAGCCGATACACCAGAGCATCCTCTTACCGAGCTATTTCTCTTTTAAACTGCATCCTTAAACACCATCACCACTAACCCCGCCAACAATGAGAACCAAAGCCGCAAGCCACCATCCAACTCACGGAAACATACCGAAGGAACTCTTGAAAGCAATCCAACAAACCAACACCACCACCGGAGGATCATTTACAAAATGCACAGCCCTTTTTAATGGATCCGGAGAGGCACAGGCCTTTGTGGACAACATAGACACGTACAAAGACTGCGTAAACATGTCCGACGAAAACGCCCTCCGAGGTCTCAACATGTTATTGGAAGACGACGCCGCTACCTGGTGACAAGGAGCACAGAAGACGGTAAAATAGAGGAAGACACCCTCACCTCTCCAATATCGAGCCAACCTACAAAAGTGATCGCAAAGCCACCAGAAAATGCAAAGCAGCCGTATTTGTA